GTAGGTGGCCTCACGAGTTCTTTCGTTCCTCTTCCACAACCCCCTCCTTCTCCTTCAGGGAGGGGCTCCTCACTGTTCCATATCAGTGTACACCCCCTCCTGGAGACAACCCGATATCATGCGCCCTCCCCCGCCATCCCATTCAAAACCGATGCAACATGCACTTTGCAGCAAAATGTTGTGTCGTGTTCTGGGGGCAAGCGAGCACTCTGTATTGTTTGGCGGGGACGGCGCGAGTGCCAACACATGGCCTGCTTTGCGCAGTTTGCCATCCCTGTAGTGGAACAATACAAACTGCACCTCGCGGCTAAATCTTGATCATGCGCGGGCACCCCGTGATCACTTTGCACTGGTTGTTTGACAGGGTCGGTGGGGGTGCTGGTATATTGCCTGCTGTGTGCATGCCCACCATACATCATGATGACCACTTCGCCGCGATTGTGCGCCGGTTTTCGACAAGGATGGTGGGGCCCTCATGGTTCCCGATGTGCGCGAGAGCACCTGGCACACTGTGCGCGTGCCCCGAACGTGGCGCGCCTGGCGCGGCATGAGCACTTGGCGCATCCAGCGCACCAGGCGTGCCTGGCACGCTTGGGCCCCAGGGGCGCCTGGCTCGCCTAGTGCGCCTGGCGCGCCTGGCACGCATGGCGCACCTCGACCCAACGTCGCGCACCTGGGGTCGGCATTGGTCCCGAGTAGCTGTCCTTCCAAAGACGACCGCTGAATATCTCGGGTACGTACTACTCATGTGCTCGGAGGGCGGGTGGGAGTGAGCCAAACAATTTGCGCCTGGGAGAGGTGCCTTGATCCCTCCCCCGGCCCCTTCCCAGGGGTCTGGATGGGCGGCGGACAGAGGTGTCAGGGTGTCCTGTGTCGCCCAAGATGGCTCCAAGAGTGCCTCCAATACTCCAAGATAGCCTCCAAAATGGCTCACAATAGCCGAAGATGGCTTCGCTTCGAACATACCTCCAAGAGGGCCCAAGATGGCCACAAGACGGCTCCGAGTGGTCTCGAAGCCACCCAAGGATCCCCCGACGAGTCGAAACTCCTTCAAAAGCCTGTGGAAAATCAATGAATGCTGTCTTCTCGCCTATTCGCGTCCGATGGGCCTCAGAGAGCCCCAAGTGTGGCCCAAGAGGCCCCCCAGACGGCCCCAAGAGCGCCCCCAGAGACAGTTGTGAGGGCTCTTGAGGGGGTGCCTAGAAAAGGGACGAATGCACCCCCCAGAGCTTCGAAACCTCAGAATCTGAGGTCAGGACTTAAAAAGCATGCCAAGACCGAAATTTTAGATCTTGCGCGACAAGATCTAAAATTTAGGTCTTGGCGTACTTTTTAGGTATTGGCGCACGTTTTTGGTTTTGGCGCATGTTTCAGGTTTTAGCGTATTCTCGTTTCTTCGGCTTGCGATCCCAAACTTTGCCCGCGCTGGCTTCGAGAAGAAAGACAAATGGAGGAGGAGTGGGAGAAGGAAAGGACGATGCATGCGCGCATACGTGCGTATACATGCAAATGTGTATATGTACGCAACTAAGTACAACAACGCAAATGTATATACACATGCACTCACGAATGCACACGTACCCACACATAACATACTTTACCCAACTGTGGCGGCTAGGCGGAAGTTGAGTAAATTACGTTCCGTCTAGAGTTGGGACGATATATTGTATATATGTATATATGTATATATACACACATATACATAGTATACACATACATACATATATATATGTATATATATATACATTTTTTATACATACATGTGTATATATACACATATATGTGTGTATATGTACGATGGACCAAGTAGACCCTAGCAAAAGCAATGGACCAAATAGATGGACCAAGTAGGCCCTAACGAAAGCAATGCACCAAGTAGAGCCTGGCAAAAGCCATGGACCAAGTAGGTCCTAGCAAAAGCATTGAACCAAGTAGGCCCTAGAAAAAGCATTGGACCAAGTAGACCCTAGCAAACGTATTGGACCAAGTAGACCCTAGCTAAAGTACTGGACTAAGTAGACCCTAGCAAAAGCAATGGAACCAAGTAGGCCCTAGCGATAGCATCGGACCAAGTAGAGCCTAGGCAAAGTATTTGACCAAGTGGGCCCTAGCAAAAGAATTGGACCATTGAGACCCTAGCAAACATATTGGACCACGTAGACCCTAGCAAAAGCAATGAAGCGGTGGTGGACAATTTGGGTTTTTCTACCAGGTCTATCAGGCATACCGAGAATCATTGTCAAGTGCTCCATCGTCTTCCCTCTTCCAGTGTCCAACGACACGAATAAAAGTATGTTCAGTTGGTGTGTTGGTCTATGGGTTTGGTCGAACAAACCAAGTAAACCGAAGAAAACAATGAACCAAGTACAGCGAATAAAACGAACCAAGAACTAACCTTTTCTTGTGCACCGTTTGTATACATGGCCTCACGTTCAACCAAGGGCGCACCTGCGTCAACAATCTGAGGGTGGTCCGTTTTCACATCCTGGGGTGGGGGGTGCATCCGACTAGATCCGCAGCTGTTGGGACTGAGCAGGTATGATTGGGGCGAATACCTGATCGTGCACGGAGCTGCCGCCATGGCAGCTGACAAGGCCAAGGGGCTGCTCATGAAGGTCCGCGGGAAGAACTAGGAGGGCAGCCCAGAGACCATGGTGCGATTTTTGAGCCCGTTCTTGGCGGATGGCAAGTTCTTAGAGTACACGCCGTCCTTTGAGGACCCCCAGACATAGATGGGCTCGTGGCCAACAAGAGGTTCGTGCAGGCTGCGAGGGAGCAACTGCAAGACGACCTCTTGGTGCGGTGCCCAAGGTTCTTAGTTGATTCCCACTCGCCTCGTCCGTCCTTTCGGTCAAACCTGAGGGTCGGCGACCGAGGTTTTAGGAGTATGTATGTATGTATGTATGTATGTATGTATGTATGTATGTGCATACCTATATATATATGGATGCTTGTGTACGTATGTATATGCATATACATAGATGTATGTGTGTGCTTGTAGTTTTGCCTGCTTGTATGTATGTATGCATGCATGGTATGTACAGGTGTTCCCCCGCGAGCACCCAGGTACAACGACCTCAAGGACGGGGTGATGACGATCATCTCGCAGCCGACCTACCCCGTGAAGTACAAGAGCAAGACCGAGCGTAGGAAGCACGCCGAGGAGTTCGCAGAGGTCGTTCGGGTTTTGTTTCGCCACGTTCGCCGCGGTTGGTACAAGAAGCTGACCTCGGACAAGGTCCCTTGGATGACGCACTTCCCGATGCCGCCCAGGAGCTCCGCGCGTGGAAAGGTGGTCCTATATGTTCGCCCTCCTGCTCATGCAACTCCCGCCCCCCGTCCGTCAAGGGCTGTTCGGATCGGACATGTAGTGTCTCTATAGTTCGGAGGTTGTTTTGTTGACACTATGGCGTTTTTGTTGTATGCAAAGTATAGCCAAACAAAAACAAGCCTTTTTCATACCGGATTCTGTTTTTGTTTGTTTTGAGCGTCATTGTTGTTATTGTTTGTTGGAACCCGCCCAGAGCCTCGGAGGCTCTGGGCGGGTCGAGGCGTGGCGTTTCCGACAGTTTGTTGTGTTTGTTGGATGCAAAGTATAGCAAACACAATCACATTTCATATCGGATTCTGTTTTTGTTCGTCTTGGGCATTATTGGGATATTTCGGTAAATTCCTTTAAAGGGCCTCAGGAGGCCTCGTCGCCAACAGTCTTGGGCCAGATGCATCTATTGATGGTGTTGGGCCACTCGTCTTGGGCCAGGGCCTCAGGCGCGTCCTCGTCTCTATTTTGTTTCAAGAAACGATCACAGAGCAGGAGCCCGACCGTGGTGGTTGCGCCGAGCCCTTCGAGCTGTGCTGCATCGGCGTTCAGCACGCCTCCGAAGACTTCGGGGTGGTTGGGCTGTCGTTTCGGCGAGTCGGACGACGAGCGTTGTCCTGGACTGCTCGAGCCTGACCCAGATGAGGGCTGTGGGATTCATCGAGGAGCGGCGGGGTCAGACGACGATGTCGAGATCATCAGCGCTCCGCCGAAATCGCCACCGCCGACAATCGACGTGGCCGAGTCGCCAAAGGCAACGGCCAAAAAACAAGGGTAAGAAAGGATGAGCAAGTAACATACGCACATGTGAGCATGTGTATGTGTATATATATATATATACATTTGCGTATATAAACATATATATGTATATTCATTTACATGCGCATACATACATTTAGGGGGGAAAAGGACTGAGGAGGATGATGATGAGGGAGGAGCCCGCGAACGTCCGACCCCCCGCGCCGGCCAGGCACCGTCGCAGCGAGCCTCGGCGCACCACGGCTTCGAGCAGGCTCGTTCTCCTCCTTCCAGTTGTCCGTTTTCCTTTTAATTATCAGATCCAAGTAGCCTCCCCCCGTATCCTTATCCTCTCCTTCCCCTCGTCCTAGTTTTCAGTATCCTTATCCTTGCCTCCTTATCCGCATCCTCATATCCTTATCTTTATCCTCCTTATCCTTATCCTTATCCTTATCCGTACCCTTATCCTTATCCTTATCCTCATCCTTATCCTTATCTCATTCGTCTCCTCCTCCTCCTCCTTCTCCCCTAGTCTGGCGGAGCTCGGAAGATGTGACGTTCGGGCCCACCCCCCACCCCCTCGCAGTTTGGGCGTGGGGGGAACAACAAAAAAACGAACACCTTGTTTCCTCGTACTGTCCTTATCCGTATCCGTATCCGTATCCTTATCCTTATCCGTACCCCCCTTATCTTTATCATTATCCTCATATCATTATCCTTATCCTCCGTATCCTTATGTATCCTTATCCTCCTTACCCGTATCCGCATCCTTCTCTTGATCCGTCTCTCACCCCTCCTCCGCCTCATCCTCCTCCTCGCCATCCTCCTCACTCTCGTTCCCCATTATTTCCTGTAGGCGGACTTCTTCGAGAACGATGATGAATGGCTGTATCATTATGACGAGACAAACGACGTCCTGGTCCGTCGCAACGAGAGCCTGCAGGATGAGTCCGTGCGCATCGTCGTTCCATGGACTGGTAGATTCTGCGTGGCTGTGTTCAAAGATGGGAGCGAGAAGGAGGTCGCAGGCTTGCTGTGCACCGACGAGGACAGGGCGTCGATCAAGAGAGCTCGATTCATTCGCATCCACGGGCTCTCGGACAACCCTGAGTACAATAACATGTTCGGGATCGCGTGCAAGTACATCGAGGACATTCGGAGGTGGGTCATCAAGGTGGACGACGGGCAGAAGGTGAAGGTCAAGGCGGAGAACCTGGAGGTGGCCAACTACATGAGGCCAGGGCAAGGGTTCATCCCCACGAGGGCGAACGAGTCCTTGCGGGATGTGGTGGTGTTGAGGAAATGGTGCCATGACGGACAGATGTGGTGCGTCGACGCGCCTCTGAAGCCAGCGGCGGGGCAGTTCATGGTCAAGCTCGCCGAGTTCTTGCAGCCGACGATGGACGGCGCCTACCTCGAGCACGCGCGCCTGCAAGCACACAACGAGGACAAATCCGACGGTGAGGTCGCGGCTGCGGTCGACGGTGACGCCGCGGCGGTCGCGACCGCGACCGACGGCGAGGCCGCGAAGGCGGGCCGCAAGAAGAGGAAGGGCTGCGCCAAGGTGGGGGCCATGCGCAAGAGGCCAGCGATGGCCTGCAAGAGGCCAGCGGCAGCCGACCCCCTACCAGCAGCTGGCGCAGCAGATGATGGACCACCAGCTGATGAGGCCGCGGCTGACGCCAAGAGCAGCCACACAGGGCTCGACGAGACGTACAAGCAGGGCAGGGTGTACACGAACACCACCGTGGGCGAGTACACGGTCACGATGACGAAGCAAAAGAAAAGGCACGACATGGCCATCGTCTATGCCCCTGGCAAGAAGCAGCTCTTCCAGGTCAGCGAGAGCAGCACCAAGCTGGACATCGAGATCGCGTTCAAGGTGGCGATGGACATCGCCACTGCCATTGTGGACGGCAAGGTCCGCCTGCTGGTGCTGCAGATGCCGTTGCTGCTGTTGCTGCTCTACCCCTGCTACTGCTACTGCTACTACTGCTACGACTGCTACTACTGCTACTACTGCTACTACTGCTACTACTGCTACTACTACTACTACTACTACTACTACTACTACTACTACTACTACTACTACTACTACTACTACTAACTACTAACTACTACTACTACTACTACTACTACTACTACTACTACTACTACTACTACTACTACTACTACTACTACTACTACTACTACTACTACTACTACTACTACTACTCCTACTACAACTACTACTACTACTACTACTACTACTACTACTACTACTACTACTACTACTACTACTACTACTACTACTACTACTACTACTACTACTATTACGGCAACTACGGCTACGACTATGACTACGGCTACGACTAGTATTACTAGAGTGGATCCTCCTCATCCTCCTTCTCCTCATCATCCTCCTCCTTCTCCTCATCATCCTCGGGGTGTGGCTCGTCGCTGGCCCACTGTGGGATGTCGCCCCCCACTGTGGTGGCAAAAAGTTCCTCTCCGATAGCCGCGCCTCGTTTTTCTCCACCTGACCTTCTCTGACCTCTTCGTACGGCAGTGGCGCTCATCATCCTCCCCCCCCTCCCCCTCCTTCTCCCTTCAATCTCGCTCCAGGCCCATGCCCCGCTGCAGCCCCGCCCGCCTCTCGCCCGATCCCAGGTCGAGCCCGAGAAGAGCGCCCTGCAGGCCTATCGGGCAGAGCTGCTGCTGAAGCAGCTCAATGAGGCCTAGCGGGGCCGCAGGGCCCCGCGACGAGGCTGCAGGGCCCCGCGATGGCGATCGATAGAGAACGCGAGATCGATATAGCGATCCGATCGGCATCAGTAGCGATGCCGATTCGATGGCGATGGACATGCCGATGGCAATCGATCGAGCCATTGGCGTCGGTGGCGATGCGAGCGATCGCGAGCGACTCGATTCGAGAGATGGTGATGGCGATGATGATGCTCTACGTTGTAGTGTCTCTCCTGGGCACGGCCGCAGGAGCAGGCACGCGTAGTGCGCGCACTCGGGAGCGCGCTGGCACATCGAGAGGAATAGCTGGCGTTTGTTCCAAACAAGGACGGTGTAGATGGGGTGGAGGGTGGGCGCGGAATACGAGGAGGATGAGGGCGAGGAGGGGGAGGCTGAGGAGGAATATGGGAATGAGGAGGAGGGGGGTCGAGCGGGCGAAGGAGGGGGGTGAGGATGACGAGGAAGAGGACGAGGATGGAGAGGAGGAGGCTGGCTAGAGGTCATCGGGGTAGTCGGACTCGTCGTGGACCCCATCTCGGGGCCGGCTGCGAGCTCTCGTGGACCCCGCGGTGGACTGGATGGGGGGGGTAAGACGCGATAGGAGAGGTGGGGAGGGGGCGGTGATGACGACAGGGGAAACGGATATCGAGGACGGGAGGGGGCGGGAGTGGTGGGAGAGTGGACGGCAGGAAGATGGGAGAGACAAGCGAGGGGTGGACGGATGGACGGCTTGGTGGCGGGATGGGTTGCTGGATGACGGGCGATGCGATGGCGACGCGGCGAGCACCGCGTCCGACCCACGCCCGAACATGGCCAACCAATGTTCGAACAATGTTCGAACATGTTCGAACTTGAGTTCGAACATGTTCGAACATTTTCGAACATTCTTACACGTTGGTCTGCGCTGGAGGCACGGGGGAGCACGAGTGTAGTGGGGCGAGAGCGGGGGTTGCCCAGTCACCCCCGTCGGCGATCGATGGTGTGATCTCGTGATGTGGTGGCCGCATCCCCCCTCGTCCTCCGCCTGACCCCCCCCCTGCTCAGCCCGCGCGGCGGCTGGCACGAAGGGGCCCTTGCTTCCGAATCCCAGCGGGCCCCCAACCAGTGCGAGCACAGAACAGGCCCCCAGGCGGCCCCGTCCCCCCGTTGCCACCCTCGCCTGTCCTCTTCCTTAGCCATTTGGGCTCGCGTGATTGGCTGCAGCCGCAGGCGCGACTGCGCGCGCCTCCACGGACTGTCTGCGCCCGTCCGTCGGCATGTCGGCCGCGGACTACCAGTTCTGGCGGCGCAGCGCCACCGCCGATGAGAAGGCGCAATGCGATGCCACTGTCGGGAACATCGCGAAGACGGGGTTCCGTCGCCAGTGGCGGGAAAGATTCAACCTGAAGAACCTCAAGGCTACGAGGGCGAACTCGCAGGAGGAGCGCAGGGGGGAGGGACTCAGAGGCGAGCCGCTGCCTCGCTCGGTCTTGATTCGCGAGCAGGGGGGGCATGAGGGCCCCGAAGCGGTCGAGGCGGCCGACAGGATCATATGTAAAGCCTTGCAGCGGGGATATCCGTGCGCGGCCTACAACACCGATTCGGAGCGCGTGGGGTTCCTGAACAGGAAGCGCTTCTACAACGAGTCGTTCAAGCAGTCGCGCAGCCTCGACGTGGAGGGCGAGGTCGATGACGCGAGCCCTGAGGAGCTGGCGGCTGCATTGACGGAGATCGGCAAGAGGGCAAGGATCCTCAATCGTGCCCATGCCCCACCGCCCGCCCTCGCCCCCTCGTGGGCTCGGGCTCGGGCGGGGGCGCGGGCGCGATAGAAGGCCCCACTCAGGGCTTGACCAACGTGCCCGCGGGGGTGCTCGAGAACGAGTCTCGGCAAGCAAAAATGCGTTTGCAAGCCCTTGCCGACGGCGCGAGTCAAGCAAGTTCAGCACGTCCTTCGACGCCGCGCCCTTCGGCATCTCCTTCGATCGTTTCTTCTGCATGTTCGAACCCTGGGACGTCCCTGGCCGCCCCGTCTGCAGTGGCGGCGGGGAGCGTGGCGCCCATCAAGCGCGAGCCCCGTCAGACAACGCTCGGTGAGTTCGCCCATCCGAAGCGCAGCCTCCCCGCGGCCGCGGCTGTCTCGACGGAGGACTCCAGCGAGGTCAGCGCGGGCAGGTCGTCGGTGGGGCCCGACGACTCGGTCTCGCAGATCGGCATCAAGCAGGAGGCCCCTGACATGAAGAAGCAAAAGAAAGCGAACCTCGCTGACCAGGCCCTCGGCAAGCTGCAGACCGAGGCGCAGAGCTTCCTCAACACCGTGAACAAGGCAAAGATGGTCATCGAACGGGCTAGCATCGAGGGCTCAGAATGGGACTGGGCCAAGAACATGACTAAGGACCTGGCAGCAAGCGTGTCAACTACGGCTGCGACCCACGACAAGCTCATGACGGACGTGGTCTTCAACACGTCGGCCAGCATCAAGGCTGCGCATGGAGATGGGCTGCAAGTTTACGCGGAGAACCTGAAGAAGATTGCCGCCGACTGCCACGCTCTGGTTAAACAAGAGCTCGGACCACTTGAGGCGATGTTGAGCATCAAGCTCAAGCAGAAAGCTGACGCGGAGAAGCGGAAGGCTGCTCTGACGAAGCCCGACAGCGTCTAGACTCACATGCCCAAGCTTGTCACATAGCGTTGCGCCCTCGATCTGGCTCTGTATAGCTCGAGTGCCAGCTTCAGCAACATCTCCCCCCCATCATTCTCCATCTTAATCATCATCCTTCCCCTTGTCTCCTTCCTGCCCCTGCTCCAGCCGCTCCTCCTTTACTCCGTGCGAGTTTGCTAAGCGCCCACTCGCGTGCTTCTCCTCCTCCCTTCCTCATTCGCTTACTCCTCCACGGCTGTTGTGTGCGAGTTGCAAGAGCGGTGGCGATGGCTACTGCATGCTCGCGTTTGCGTTCAGGCATCTTTAGCTACTAAGTGCAGGCAGCTGTGGGGTGCTGCTCGTTTTGACTAGTTTCAGTTGCGTTTGAGGCGATGCTCTGGGGCCCGACGTGCACGGACTGTTGCACAGTGCGATTTGCTTTGCCTCGAACATCAGACCGCGCCTGTGTGAGACGCACCAGTCCAAGCACATGCACGCACACATACGCATGCCCACAACCACGCACATTGGGGCGTTCCAAAAGGGGCCGTGCCTTCGCGAGTAGAAGGGGTCGTTGTCTCTCCCGCGGCGGCAAGCGGCGGCAAGGCGGCGGAAGGTCGGCGGACGTAAAACGCGGCCGCCTCTGCCCGCGGAAGTCGGCGGCAGCTCAGCGGGAGGCGGCGGACGTAAACCATGCGCCTCCGAGAGATGAAAACGCGTTTAGGTTCAGAGTTTTCGAAATCGCCCACGCCGCTTCCTTGTGTGACGCAACCGTCGCAGCACCTGGAGTTCGCATGAATCGTTGTGCTAGGCAACCAGCTGTGAGGGGTCCGTCTTGGTTGCGTTGCACGTATTCTCGTGCCGACTGCACGTCGGGCAACGTGCTTCTCCAACCAGTCGCCCGTGGTCGCAGCCATTTTGGCGCAGATGGGTAGGCGACAAGCGCGCCTTCGCTTGTGGAAGCCTTCCACCCGAGTTTTGAAGCGATCAGATGTCGACAGAGCCGAGGGGGGGATAGCGCATCGCAAATACTTGATCAAACAATGGGCGCTTGGTGCGAAGTCCAATGAGCAGCTCTGCACGGAACGTGCATAGCGGGCCAGGCAGGCGCAAGTGAAGCAGTTGATTTAGGTATGTATCGACCCACAACTTCGGGGGCGCAATCATGCCATACATGTTCGGGATGCCCTGGGGCTCGACGAAATTATGTGCAAACTTTACTTTGTGCGTGTTCCAATCTACTGCAAACGGGTTGCCAGGCGGGTGCATAAATGGATCCCAGTTCGACTGCCCCACGAACTCCTCATGGATATGTACGACGCCAACCCCCGCAGCCTCGATTTCAGAACCCAGGATCCCGACGAGATCCTGAGACCTGCATTTCTGCATCACCAAGTGGCCCAGGAACGCGGCGTTCACAAAACTATCCCGCTCGGCCTGTACAGTGATGGGGCTCCTGTTTATAAAACTGGTTCTGTGCTGGCTGGCACCATGAACGTCACGTGGCAACGCTCTCGGCATGTCCTGTGGCTCCTGCTGAAGAAGCAGATGTGTAAATGCGGGTGTAATGGCAGGTGTGCGCATGGGGATCGGGCATAAAACACCATCTCATGTCTCCCTCCGTGGCCACCTCGCCCACCCCATGTTTGTTTATGTTTGTTCGTGATGTTTTTTTCCGCCAGGTGCACCGTGGACGCGGTGCAAGTAGTGATCAACCGTTCTTTGAATCTGCTGGTTACGGGCGGGAGTACGACTCGCAGGTTTGATGACGCACCATGGAGGGAGGAGGATCGCATTCGAGCTGCTCGCACACATAGGCGGTTCGAACTGTTCGCCGCTGTCATCGAATACCGATGTGATTGGTCAGAGCACTGCGACGTGACTAGGCTGAAACGGTGGAATGCGAGATGCCCATGCCCCACATGCAGGTGTAGATTAGATACCACGCGCACGAAATACCATTCATGTTCTGCCGTAGCTTTACCATGGGACGAACGTACGATGGATGACTACGTCGACGAGCTCACACGGCAGATCGTACGAGTGAATGTGGATGAACCAGGGCAGCTCGCAATTTTAATTACATCCCTTCGTTTCAGACATTCCCACCCATGGGGGCGAAGTGTGTCACGGATGTTGCCCCAGTTCGACCTCAGGACAGGCGACGCGCTGGTGTGCAACGAGGTTGTGCCGCACCTCCATGCACTCGAAGCTTCTGGTGGGAGTATGAAAGGCGGATGTTTGTGGGTGGTTTCATTGTTTCAAGGTGTTTGTATATGTTAACGTTCGGTTTTAAAGATGTGCATATTTAAGGGAACGCCTCTCGCACTCCCACTGGTCCGAAGGAAGTTGTACTTCCATGCGTGATCTTGTT